TGACCCCGATGAGACTGTGCTAAGCTTTCGTCTGTACCACCGTCACAGAAATCATCAGAGCAAAATTCAATACTTTACGAAATAGAGTAAGGTTGAAGTAGCCAACCTCATTGAGATTGCGATCTTTGGTGTATAAAAAAGCGACTGGTTGCAGCCGGCCACCTCTTGGTTTAGCATACTTTTGCTCTATTTCGTAAAGTATGGAATTTTGCTCACGATTATACAGACGAAAGATTGGTCCAGTTTCATTGGGGTCGCAGGACTGTGAGCCGAAGACTTCTTCGCACAATTCAACAGTCTTCCTTATGCGGCAATCCTCCTTCAGCTTCTGGTGAGACCACATCACGAATTCCTTCCAACCAACTTTCCCTTCGAAATGGAGAGTTATGCCACAATATTTCATTAAGGAATTTTTCGAAACCCAGTTTTTATTCATATTTCAATATTTATATACTTAATAATTTATTTCTTAATTTCTCAATTGAGACCTAGAGAAGAATTTAACTAGCCCTGTTCGAGTGGTAATTTCTCTGGAGGTCACCTATTCCAGGAGTGATATCATAAAGTTTACACTAATTTATAAATGTCAGGTGGCCTGATTGACTTATAACTTGTCTTCCCACTACAGAAGTGTGATATCGGAAATGGCTGGCATTTTTTGAAATTCACATCTGTTCCGTGACCCAGAGGCACTCGTGCAAGTGTGGCGAGTGTGTGCTGCAGTGTCCAGGTTCGAGTCTCCTTCAGAAGATGCTGATATTACCGATTTAGGTGAGGTCGAGACAGCAGTCCACTCCTGCCTGGAGGAGAATACCTGTTGGGAAGCCAGGCTATGTGGACTGCAATGGAAGCATTTGGCTAAGTCATATAATTGTGTGAAAACTCAGCTATCAGTCTTTTAGCGCCTTAAAGAAAATAGGGTGAATACAATTCTTAGATCGGGTCTACCGCCAGTCTCAGAGTATACAAGTTCACCACATCGCCAGAATTTAACACGTCGGAAGTATGCATTAGACCAGCTGAATTTGGTTCCCGTTGGATGTGTGGTGAAACGATCTGATCGTGGATAAATCGGGCTTACTTTTGTGGAAAGCGGATGTGAGCACTCCGGCTGTAGCATGATTGCAAAGATGCTATTTGTTCGGTTCTCTTCTTCACTCAGGCCTACCAAATCGCCCATGCTAAAGGCCATTGTGGGCCGAACATAGATTACCTTCGCCAGCTGATCAGATTCATGCGTGACGAGGTGCTGCTGGGCGAAACTGCCCGCCAGGACGCCTATCTGCTGTCGTTGGGTCAACTGGCCGAGGCGTTCTGGGCCGGCGAGCGCCAATTAACCCACGACCTGGCTCGTCAGTTGCCCCAAGTTCTGGCCAGTCTGCGCCGGACACCGGCTGAAGGTTTGGACGAGACGGTGATGAGTAGAGCATCGGGCGGAGGCGAGAAGACTGCTGGACAGGAGAGCCGAAATCAAAACTCGTCAGCTCGACTGGACGCGCGGCTCGACGCATTGGCGGCGTCGGCGGCGTCGGCGGCAGCTTCGACGTGTCAGCCCACCAGACTGAGGCTCCTCGAGAAGGCAGTCCCGTCGTCAGGCTGGAGTCGAGGCGAGGATTTGGGCGACGAGCCGGAGACTGGCCAATCCGAGGAGCAGACGGGCCTCGATTCGGCCGACAGTCGGACAGTCGTTGAGGCGAACTCGAGTACTCGGGCTTTGTCCGCGATTGCCACACGTAAGAGTTTTTTTGCGTGTGCATACACTGTTATGGCAATCATTAGAGCGTTGGCATGACTTCGCTTTCACAGCTCCCTTGCAAGGTATTTGCTTTCAATGAATCTCTTGAAATAACATTTTTGGGGAGACTTTCATTTTGTATGAAAAAACATGATGGAAAGATTCGAAGGTCAATCTCACCAGAAGACGACGGCTGAATGCCGTTGTACTGCAGCCGTTTGGATTTAACACGATTCTCAGGTTGACACAGTCCACGAGACGTCCTCCTTTCTTTCGGGTGAAAAAGGGGTGAGCTACCGTCCATCAAATGATGGATATCAGAGCTGGAAAGCATTCTTGTAAGAGAATCCCGTTGACACTAGGTCAAGAAGTCTATCCGGCTCTACCTTGCCTCGTACAAATATACTCAACTAACCAATTAAAATGTACAAACGCATTACCCATTTATTCGATGTTACCTTGACCGCTGGAGCCCTTGCAAATTGTAGCAGGCGTTGCAATCACGGTTTTGAGAGCAGACCCTATTTTCTGGGCCAGACATACGATTACATCTGACGGGAACAATTGTCGGAGTTGAGAGATTATCGGCAGCAGGGATCCTTTCACAAAAGTTGGGTGAAATGGACATCATCCGTAACCGGTGGTGATGCATGCGAAGAAAAGAGTCATTTTGATTACGGTTGTTGAGTTCGCTTTAGTTTATAGTGAAAGTGTGCGTTGAAGCGATTTGATGGTCGATCCACCAGAATACGAAACTTCACAAGATCCACTGTGATGGTACAAGCGAAAATGCAAAGAGATGTTGATAGATAAATTGGTCATCATAAATGAGGTCGAGGAACAAAGATGCGGCACTAGTAGCTGGGACATGGGGGATGGGAGTTGCCACAATGGTTGAACAGGACGACTTTCTTCGACAAATAGGTTCCGAGACTTGCTGCTTCTTTCCTTCTTCACCACTTTGAACCGAAATAGAGTTCTTGAAAGACTGTCTTGAATGGGTGTGCAGAAAGTTGTCTTCATTTGCCGCCTCTACGAGTTGTAACTCACTGCTGAGGCTGGCGCCTCCCATCGACGAGGTCTATTATGCTGCGAGCGAAACGTCTTTGAATGTACCAAGTCAACCGTGCGATATTAGAAATCATGGCGTCTACTATGGCAGTGGGCGTAGGTCCAAGCACACCCTGCATAGTCACTCTGTCACGTCGACCACATTTGTAAAATGTTGTCAAACCAACTGCAAATGCTTCTGAGTTATAAGGCATTCGGCATATATCGTGTCTGCTGTGGGTTTCAGGCACAAAAATCTTGTTCCACCGGGTCAAAAACTCAAATAAATCTGTTTTCTCCATTTGCCTACACTCATACACGCACACCTGCACACTCCAAACAAACAGAATGCACAGCTAGCACCGGCGTGCACCTTTGGTCTTCTAAGCAAATATGTTCTAAGGCTGGCGGACAATCAGATATATCGCCCGCGCCTGACAAAATCTTAGTGATATCCGAGCGACTTTGCTCAATTTAGACGATTGATCTCATCGTGACGCTGGACGCCAATCTTCTCGCACACAAGACGGACCACGACCTCACCTATGACGGCCACAAGTTACATCATGAACTTCAATTCGGCAACCCATCTCTTATTCCCCATTTTAAGTATCATCTCACTTCTATGCTCAGAGTTCATTCCTCTCGTCCTCTAGCAGCTTTCTTTCATCATGTTCTTGGAAATCTGATTTAAATGATGCACAACTCAGGTTGATCACATTCTGTTCAGAAATTATTTTATCCTATTTTGTATGTCTAAAAATGATTCCAAGATTAATTGCTATTTTATTTCAAGTTTCATGCTCTCTTCTCAGCAGCTTAGACTGACAGTAGAAATAGTGGTCCTTTTATAGGCTTAATAAGAGCGTCCTTTTAGTGTCTATCAATCCTAATACTAATTTTTAAAGCTTAATACTGAATAAAAAAATAAGCGCAAATATCGATTCATAATCATATATATATATATATATATATACCCACAGAATTGGCATAAGTATACCAAAATGCTTTGAGAAATCGGTTCTGCAGCATTTTGAAGCCTGACCCTGGGACTTCTGCTTAGGAAAAGCGTGAGGCCCGGATAACGTTTGAATTAAAATCTAATCTAAATATGAAGTTAACGTTTGTGGCTCAGCTGTAGCGAACAATATGGTTAGCTTAATCAGGACAGGATAGGCTAATGACATTTAGTTGTTGAGCTTACTTCCATTTCGAGTGAGAGTGTTTGGTAAAGAGATTACAAGATCGAGCTCACCAGACGATGTTGGAGTCCTCTTGACTGTCGATCAACTTTGATGGAACATTCTTGTTGATGCTGTTTTGTGAGGTAATGTCCTTCGATTCCGGTGAAAGCGTGCAAAGTTTCGCCCATCGTATGGCGGACATCATCAGAGCAGGGTATCATCCTCACAAGAATATTCAAGCTAACGAGTTAAGAAAACTCACTGGCTCATCCCTAAAATGCTGTATTTATATACATTTTCTCTAAGCTCTTTAATGAGGTATAAAGGATTTTGGTCAGTTCCAGTCATATGTCACTCGAAGCCGGTTAGTATGTCTGCCTGAGTATGTGTATGCGCCCGCATGTGCTCGCATATGTACGAAACCAGCAGTGATGGTTCAGAGTAGTTAGAACAGCAAAAGTAACGACTGTTCTCGGCCATCAATCCATCTTTCAATATATTTTAACCGTCACTCCGATTGCGCAAGCCTTGCCACTCAGAACTGCAAGTTCCTTCTTAGCTTGAAGCGTTTATCAACTACGCAGGTTTCGAAGCTATCAGCAGAGTTTAAATAAGAATCCGAGTTAACTTGAACCACTTTAAGTGAGTTGACGACTGATAGGTGAATTTTCACAACACTCAAAGGAGTGTGCAGGATTGCAGTTTCCAATTCGGCTCAGTCTCGTCAACACACTCGAACAAAGCGCCAAATCGCATCGTGCCCATTAAGTGGCAATAGATTACGGCCCCACCATGGCCACGAATACAAGCGAGTCACAAGGTAGATATGGCTTCCAAAGTAGGACAGATAGGTCCTAATTTACATTTTTTCTGTAGGACTGTTGTCAATACGCCAAAATTGTACTTTCAGGGCGACCCCGATGAGGCTTGGTGTGTGGACTGGCAAGACTTATTGATGCTGCTGATTATGGTGTCGGCGGAACGTCTTGAAATGTAGCGAATCCATGCTCGAAATCAACGCTGAAAATTATTATGACTACAATAGCAGAGGGCTCCGGTAAAGATGTTTTAATTGAGCTTGTCAGACCAAATTTTTGAGGCGAAAATGGAGTACAGCCAAAATAAAGCCCACACCCTCTTGCTCTTCATATCTTCCATTGGGCCAAACCTTTATTCCCAATCTCATTAGCATCAGTAATTATAGGAATAATCATTGGATCCTACATAATAATTCGATATATCAGTCGTTTCGACAGCTACTTAATACGAAGAGTAACTTGGTTTTGGTGAATCTCCTAAGATAAAATTGTTGTGAAAACTTTCATTTTGCATGAAAGTGCATAGAGAAGATATTCTTAGTTTGATCTCACCAGAAGACGACGGCTGAATCGCGTTATATTGCAGCCGTTTGACTTTAATACGACATTCAGGTTGATGCTGTCTACGAGACCTCTATCGCTTCGAGCAAACACGGACCGAGCTCTCGTTCGTCTTATGAGCTGGGACTCATTCTTGTAAGTCACATCAATCTTCTTGACTTAGTGATAACTTGAGACTTGCAAAAATGAGTCCCAGCTCTGAAGATGTTCATCATAGGACAAGCGAATGCTCAGCCCGTATTCACTCGATATGATGGGGGAGATCTCGTAGACTGAATCAACCTGAAAGTCGAATTAAAGCCAAACGGCTGCAGTACAACGAGAATATGCGCCATCTTCTGTTGAGATAGACTTACGAATCTCCTCATTCACTTTCATACAAAATGAAAGTCTTCACAACAATATTATTTCAGAAGATTGTTTGAAATCCACGTTTTTTTCATATATAATATCAAATACTGGTTTGCCTAATCGACACTTCCACAACAAAAGTCTGATATGTGGAAGGCCTAGCCTTACCTGAAGTTCATTTCTGCTCTGGAAAGGTGAAGCCGACGCATATGATTGTGGGAAAATTGAACTATCAGTCCTTCATCACCGTATGCAACCTAGGATAAGTGCAGCCCTTATTCAGATTATTTAAGAAGGTGAAAGGTCCTTTGGGTGTGACGGTTCGGTTGTGATGTCGCCTAAGGCATACGAACCGATTTCGAATCCTATCTCTCAAGAAAGTTTTTCGGGACGCAAGACTAAGTGAAATTAGCTTGTATGACAAAGTATTCTATTCATTCAATTATAATCATTTTATTTTACCTAACTGACCTTAGGTGACTCGTATTTTTACTTGAAATTTACCTATAGTTTTGAAACCTACATAAGGAAAACTGGGTTTCGAAGACGTCCTTAATAATTTAGTATGACATTACCTTTCTTATGAAAGGAGAAATTGATTGTAAGGAGTCCGTGAAGAAAGTAAGAATTTAGGTAGAGATGTACTTAAAAAGCATACACACATGGGCTTCCTTATTAACTCCTTTTCTAATCACGCATATGAAGGCAGAGTAGG